ATGGAGTATAAAACGCTAAGTGTCACCTTAAATTTGAGATATCACATGTTTATCCTTGGTTAGGCACCTATGTTGAGTGATAAACTCAAATCTTTTAGAAAAAAAAAAAAAAACATTTAATTCACAATGATATTATTAATGTAAACATTCCAAATTACAATAAAATAATTTGTGTTTGTATTGAACTAGTGCAAGTCAAAAACCCTAAATAGAGATTACATACATATAACAAGATTATTAAAATCACAATATAAAATGAGAAATTACATACATTTTGTCACTTATACCCTTCTTGCATGTTATTCCATATGCTAAATAGAGATTTTATGAAATCAGGAGCAATCCATTTAATTATCCACCACCACTCTAAACACAAAGACTAATAATATACAATCGAAAAATATGATTGACAGAGTTTAACCCAATTCCTTAAGAAAACGTGTTTATTTTGAGTATTCAATTTCAGTTGGCCGTAAATGTTCTACCACTAACTAGAATTCTACAATTTAATAATTGCTACAAGACCATTACCAGCAACTTTATATTAGTTTTTCAAGATTTAATTAAGTATTTACCTTGGATACTAAACTTTTTCATAAGTGTATCCAAATAATATAATATGTCTATCTACATATTTTTTAGAAAATAAATTGTGACATATTTAGGTAACACATTAATTGAGTCAAGATTTTTCTTGATTTAAAAGATTAAATTTTCATTCACTTCATTGTTAATAATTTTTTAAAAGTTCATTGAAAATTTTTATGAAAATATATCATGGTTAAATATATAAATAAAATAAGTATAATAAAAAACACAATATCACTATCTATAATTTCTAATCCGTTATAATTAATTTAATATTTTTTTTAACAAAATTACTTAATTATACTGCATTTTTTAATTTACTTTACTTTCTTTCATTAAACAAGATAGGATTTAGGATTCTCATTTTTCCTATTATAATTAACTTTATTTACACTTTTTAAAAAGCACTCTTCTATTTTCTTCGAACAAATTATATAATAAACTTGATAAATGCATGTTAAAAAAAAAATCAATATCTTAACCAAACCCACCCCTTATATAGTCCATATTTATTTATTATATTCATAACAAAATGTTATTTCTTTTTTCAAATCAAAATTCAAAGCTATATTATTATAGAAATAGATAAAAAAATAATTTGTGTTAATTAACAAAAGGGCAGATAAACACATAGAAAGCGGGGCAATACCAGCTGTCCTGTAATAATAACCTTCTTTGCCCGCCAATTTCTGGGCTCTTCAACCAAAAAATAAAATCTTAGAAGAACAGAGATAGGGAGAGTTTAAAATAGGATCCGGATAAACCGTAACATTTGTGCTGTGTTTTTGATCCGTTACTTTCCTTTTATCTTTTTCTTGTTTTAACTTTGTAATCCATTCTCTAATCTTTGCTCAACTGGGTCTGGTCCCTGCCTCAGAGACACACACAGAGGAATCCAAGTTCCTGTCTCAAGGAACAAAGATTCCTCATTCATGCACTCCACTTTCCTCAAAGGTTTCCTTTCCTTTCCTTCCTTCCTTCTTTCTTTCATGTTTTTGGTTTCATGACAATTTATATGGGTTTGGTGGTAATGCTCTGCTTTTTCTTTTCCCCCTTTTTCCCATTTATGTATATTGTGAAAGTGCTTTTCTTTTAATAATAATTTTTGGTTGTTTGTGAATTATCACTTGCCTTTCAATATTTTTAAAATTGCATTGCAACAACTTACTTTCTGCTTATATCTTTAATCTCACATCACCCTCCTCTCTCTCTCTCTATATATATATATATATATGTTTATGTATACCCGCACCGTTGTCCTTTCTTATTGTCTTCTCTAATGGCTACTAATGGACCTGATTTTTTACAATGAAAACATTTTCTTCTGAGGTGGGTGCTTTTTAACTTTCTTGCTAATTTGGTTAGGTGGCCATTGTCTTAAAGGCTATGCAAATTGTTATTGTGGGTCATTACATAATGTCGTTCTGCTTTTCTTAAGCTCTTCAATTATTTGTCAAACTCAGGTGTCCCCTAAAGGTGGAGATGAGTTATGATGATTCAGTGACAATTCCGTGTCATATCTATCTCACCAAATAGTACCCCTTAAATGACAACCTACTCTCTCGTCTGGAATGCCTTTGACGTTGGATTTAGAGGTATGTTTCTTCATTCACAGTTTAATCAATTCCACTCATATATAAAATGGGACCCTGCCGTTTTATTTTCCTGTTCTTATTTCATGAAAATGTAAGCTTACGTGTTCTTGCCAAGTCTGGCACAGAGTTAAAAATATTTTTGGCCTTCCTTTTTGGTGTGTGAATTTGACCAAGCCTTTTTTTAGTTCTTATGAAGAAGATTGTAATTCTGATATTTGAGTTGTGCAGTCCATATTTTCTTAACTTTATGTTGGGTTTTTATTTTATTTGTGCATGTTTGGTTCCTAATCGTTGTATTTAATTATGAGGAGCCATTATCTTTACTTCTTTTGGTCTATCAAATCCTTCAGGTTTGTTCTAAGCAAATGTTGTTTTCTGCAAACTTGATTTCAAGTAATGCAATAATTTATTGAGTTGTAAAACCTGGCATATGGGCTTGGAGAAAACATTTCTGCAGGAATATGTAACTTATACATGTGAAGGTAGAAGTATATTTCCAGAAGATTATGCATGAATTTTGCTGTAATTCAAAGTACCATACCAAAGAACAACAGTCATAATCTTCTCAGGTTTGCCTAGGCAGATAAACTTGTAATCCAGTTTTTCTAAACTTTAGTTTCACAGGGCTTGTATGTGTATAACATGATCTTTCTACATGTGGCAGGTCTTCTCTTTTCCTGAAATTATTTCTAGACTTCATACCTGCTCTTTTATTCGGATTGACTTCCTGTATGAAGTAAAGAGTATAATTAAGTTGGTTCCAGAGGGTTGTCATAATCATGGGTGCCTGTGTCTCAACACACAGTAGGAGAAGTAGAGTTCACAAAAGACAGTTTTATGCAGCCGGAAAGTGCAGAAGTAAGATCTCCACTTCCCTTGCTGATGCACCTATTAAGAGGATGAATGACGCTGGAAATCGGGTAAGAGATTACGCTGTCAGCGAATACGTTCACCTTGACTTCGAGAAGGGTGCTGCAACCACCTGTAAGAGATCAGAGATGTCTAATATGACATTTCATCTCACTCAGCTGCAATGGAACCACAGTCAAATTGATGGAAATGGTAATCTTCTTTCTCTCTTGGTGCTAAACATAGTTTTTCGGAGTTAATCAGTAAACATAACAAAGCCATGGTGGTGACCAAGTTTGCCTTAACTCATTCTTGTGCTATATAGGCAGGTTTTTATGATTTTTCTGAAAGGTACATACAAACTAGGAAAATTTAGGAATTTACGTTAATTCAGTTAATTTTAAAAAAATAATTTTAACTGTACTTTCCTCAGAATATTCTGCAACTTGTAACCTGGGATTGCTCATGTTTGTTTTGAGGATATGTAGGTTGAACAATTGCTCATAATAGAAAATCATTTATTCACAGGAATATGTCAGGAGGAAGCATGGTTTGACTCTGTTAGTTACATTGATTCTGAATCAGACGAAGATTATCGTAGTGTACTTGGGGGTAATGTATTGTAACTAGTTGAGTTTCTTTTCTATATTGGCATTGATTTATGGCTAGAGCTGAGACTTTATGTCATTTCCAGATGGATTTTCTTCAGTAGGTAATGCAATTGGACATATTTCAAATGCTCAATTGCTTCAGTATGAAAGTGCATCATGTTTCGTAGACTCTGGGTGCAAGTATGAGGGGTACTACGAGAGTTACCTGAAAATAGATGGAGGTAAAACTGAGAAGTACTTGAGTACAGATGAAGTCTGTTCTTCGACAAAGAAAGTATTGGATGCTCCTTGTGCTAGCTTTAAAGGAGTCAAAGACGTCACATATGATTCAGGAGAAAAAACTCAAGAAAACAGGAAGAAATCAACAGTCATCATGCTTTCTTTAAAAAGAAAATCCATTGATGGAGGTGAACCTACTGAATTTTGTAAGCTCACATCGTACTCGGTCTTATGTGAGGTCTTAAAGTTAAACATATTAAGATATAATTCCTTCATATAGTTTCTCCTTTGGCATGCCATTTCCTTTTTTGCTTCCACTAGTTTATTCTAAAACCAAATTATTGTCTTTCTAAATATCTTCTTTGGATTATGTCATGCATTTGAAGAAAGAATTCAATGTCATTTTCTGATTGCAGTAAGCTGTGGATTGGAAAATGGAAACAATGAAAATAAATAATCTGGTCCTTTTTGGACTCTTCAATTTGTCTCATTTGGTGCTGTTCTTTATTCAATTGATCATCGAATAAATCTGCGTTTCACCACAAGATTCTGAAATATATTATCATTGCACTTTGCTAACAGTGAGATATAATTGAACAGGTGCAGCTGAGAGAATCCTATATCGTCCCAGAGCAGGACATTTGATTCCACGTTCTAAAGGAGAGAAGTTAGCTCCAGGATGCTGGTCTGAGCTTTGCCCTTCAGTTTTTAAGCTGCGTGGGGAAAATTATTTCAGGCGTGTAACTGGAGCACATTTGTACATTCACCACATACTACAATATTCCTACTTAATAACTATCACTGGCTTTCCCCTGAAGGTTTTGATGTCTAAACCTAACTGATTTGTTATGCAGAGATAAGCAGAAGTATCCTGCTTCAGATTGCAGCGCTTACTTACCAATTGGTGTTGATTTATTTGTCTGTCAACAAAAGATCAATCACATTGCTCAGCACCTTGAACTTCCCCATGTGAAACCTCACGACAAATTACCCGCACTCCTGATTGTTAACATACAGGTTATCCCTCTCACTTTCTCTGTGTTTATGCACATAGTCCTTTCCAGTGTAATGTTAAATCATTCATGTGGTATCATGCTTACATAAGAAATTTGCTTAACTTACGTGTTAGACTGATAGGAATTTCCCTGCATATTCTTGTGCTGAAGTTATTTTGAAAAAGATTAGCTGTAAAATAAATCAGAGCATGTTTCTAGCTATTAGACCTTAATCTAATATCAATCAGTGGATCCTCAATGTTTTACCCCACAAAGAAGTACCGTATCCTGAGTGATTTTGTAGGAACTGATCTTGGCTTTCTCGTGGCAGCTACCAACTTACCCTGCTTCTGTATTCCAAACTGAATATGATGGGGAAGGCATGAGTCTTGTATTATATTTTAAGGTATCAGAGAATTTTGACAAAGAGATCTCTGCTCGTTTTCAGGATAGCATCAAGGTATTCTCTTGCAACTCAATAGCATGATATTTTCTTCTCCAAATGCAGGATCTAGACTGTTTAATAAGGGGCTCATTTACTTATTTTGTGGGTGTTCTTTTCTACGCTTCCTTAATCCTTAGGCCAATTTATAATTATAACAATCATCTATTTCACCAAAATCAACGGAAGAAGACTTGTTCTCATTTCTTACAAAATTGTCTGAATGGATGGGAATAATCATTCATTTGGTTGATTTTGTGGAAACTAATTCACCCAAGTGTCTACTTTTAAAAGTGGTTCTTTCAGGGGTAATTAGTTAACAATGAATTACTGACCACCAAAGCTATTGTCTGCTGCAGAGATTTGTCGATGATGAGATGGAAAAGGTTAAAGGATTTGCAAAGGAGTCTACAGTTCCTTTCAGAGAAAGACTAAAAATTATGGCTGGATTAGTAAATCCAGAGGACCTACAATTAAGTTCTGGTGAAAGGAAGCTTATACAAGCTTATAATGATAAGCCAGTGCTTTCACGCCCACAACATGATTTCTACAGGGTAAAGAAACATCTTTTTTTTTTTTAAATTTAAGTTTAAGTGTTTGTTGAAGCAAACTTCCATACTTAAATTAACATAAAAATCCAAATTCACAATGCAAGCAAGAGAGCATTTGTTTATAGAATAATCTTTGAGCTTAATAGTAACCAAGTTAGCCTTATCCAGGGTGCCAATTACTTTGAGATCGACCTTGACATACACCGGTTCAGCTACATTTCTAGGAAAGGACTTGAATCATTCCGGGACCGGCTAGAGCACGGTATACTTGATCTGGGTTTAACTATCCAGGTAAATTGTCTTCTTGAAAGCACTTACATTCTACTTTTGCTTTTGCCAACGAGAGTTTAGTAAGTCAAGATTAATACAAAAATAGGCAAGTACTAATATACCTTGTTAACAGGCACAAAAGCCCGAGGAACTGCCAGAGCAAGTACTGTGCTGTGTTCGGTTGAGTAAGATTGATTTTGTGAACCATGGCCAAATTCCTACAATTGTAGGATGATTACAGGTTTGCCAACAACTTCTGGCAAAAGAGAGAGATGCCATGCCATGTAAACTTATAGAACAGAGTCCCGAGAAAATATCCAACAGAGAAATGAAGAGAAATTCATTTATTGTTTATAAAAGTTACGAAAAACAAAAAGAAAATTTGCCATCGGATTCTATCAAATAATGGTTTAGAGGATTTCTTTAGCATCCTTTTTTTACCATTTACTTTTTCATTTTTCTCTTCTGCCCTATCTTCCTATGCCATTCTTTTTTTCTTTTGGGGTTGGGTTGAGTTCC